TGACACTACGGTTCTGGAACTTTCAACCCCGTACCTTTATATATTACTATATAACTGGGAATAAGTTATTCGAGAAAATGTACCTTTGATCGATTCCAAATTTAGGTTCTGATTTTATATAACGTAAATTAAGAATAAATATATTCTAGAAAATGTTTTATGATTATTATTGAGTATATAATTATCTTATATTTCAGAGCATCATGTTTGAGAAAAATATGATTTGTCAGCCATACTGAGTTTTATAGTTCACTTCACTGTTTATACGATTGGGCAAAGGCACTATCATAACATTATAATTGTTAATTATTTATTTAAAAGAAATAATTTTATTGTTGATTTCCTACAAATATAGGTAAAAAATTATTCAAATATTAAAAAAATCAGATTTACATATATTAATTAAATTTTGATAGCTGTCAAAAAGTAAAGAAAAAGAACTTCTCTTATTAACACAATGAGAATTTAAAAAAATTAAAACAGATTCAGCAAACCTTCTCAGCTAAACATTTTGTTCAATATATAAAATAACGGGATTGTTTAAGTCAAAGGTGTGTTTAAAATTTAGCATATGGTCTGAAAGCATTGTTTTGTATTGATTTTTATTGTTTGAATTATATTTATGTTGAAGCATTCTCTTAGATATATATTGTGAACTCTCCCCAATATAGAATTTTTCACAATCATACAATTCACCTTGTAAACGGAGTCAACAATTATATTATATGGTGTTTTTGATTTTAAAGGAGTATACAAAGAATTTAGAGTATTTTCAAATTTGGAAACTAAAGGAAATCTTCTTCAGAAAATATCTTTTTTAAAAAATAAGTAAAACTGCCTAAAAATGGTAAGGAATTAATACCTTTATATTGATTTAGAAAAGATGATAATAAGAAAAGGTGTTAATAAGAGAAATTCTTCTTTTTTTCTTTTTGACAGCTATCAAAATTTAATTAATATATGTAAATCTGATTTTTTTTAATATTTTAACAATATATTACCACTTGATATTTTCTATTATTTTCTTTCTATATATTTTCTTTTTATATATACGAAATGTGTTCAAAAATACGTATATATTTGTTTGTTTTTAGAACAAAATATTCATGTTTTAATTGTCAAATTTTGCATAAAATAATTTTGGTATGTTTATTAATTTGTAAAACTGGTTTGGTATGTATAATTTTAATTCTGTTTTATTTTATTTTGTTACTTTGTTTTATTACTCTGTTTGTATTTTAGCTGAATGATGAGCTAGCAGAATAGCTCGAAACGTATTAAAAAGATTTATATTTACGTTCTGGTTTTATTTTTTCGACTTGTGGCTTAAAAACCGTATCATATATATATATATATATATATATATATATATATATATATATATTGTATGATTCTGATTCAGAATCATACAAAATATTTTTCCTGGGCTGAAAAAAGGATTCATTACTCTCAGTACTTTATACAAGATAAAATACTAAAATTCCAACTACACAATTATTATCCATGGAACCACTACGTCATTATAATAGGAAAATGGTCACTCTACAGGACAACAATTGAAGATTACAAGGAAAGCAAAATCATTTTGCAGATCACAACCTGTCATTTTTTGAATTTATTAGGCGCAATTACGGGTTCTACATTTTTTCACAATTTAAAAAAATTTCTAAGCTCAATTCCAAACTTATCATAAATTTCAACAAACAAGTGTTTTTATTAAGATGTCGCAAAGAAAAAATTGTTCCTAAATTTTACGAAATAGACATTAAAAAATTCCAATTCATTAGTAATAATTCCCAATACAATAGTTTACAAAAAGTTAGTTTGAAATACATTACACTCACAATTAACAGGTGTATCAAAAATATTTGTAATCTTAGAAATACGATTAAAAAAATCACAAATTGGTTGTGTCGCATAGTAGAAATCGATATTTTTGAAAACTTTTTATATTTAGAAACAATTAGAAACAACAAACAATTCAATAGTTTGAAACTTTCGTATACTAACAAATTTAATAAACTATTACAAAACAAATTAGAAAATAACAAAATAATTTTAGATAAAAATATTATTGATAAATGGTTAAAAAATTATTCTTCTATCGACATACCAGACAGACTATTGTACATATTCGCTTTAGGACCGAATTTTTCAGTTCCTGCTACTTGTCGTAATTTTAACTTTATTAAATTGCTTAGTAATTTAGAATATGGTTTACAACAAATTAAAGATCCGAAAACCAAAATTCACACTAGAAATCTTTTTTGTAAAAAATTCATCCAACATATTAATTCCTTTAATACTAAAAATACAACTTACGATAATATTCCTAGAGACCTTAAAGCATGCAAAACATTTCTCAAAAATCATCCGGATATAGTGGTCACTAAAGCGGATAAAGGCAACATCACTGTTATCATAGACAAACAAGACTATATAAATAAAATATCTGAATTATTACTTGACACTAATACTTACAAAATTACCAATAACGATCCAACTGACTACATAAACCGCACGTGCCATAATTTTTTAGACAAACTTACAACAAACAAACAACTAACAAAAGAAATAACTTCTGACCTGAAAAATTTACACCCATATTTTCCCAGACTTTATGGCCTTCCCAAAGTCCACAAAAATAATTTACCTTTTAGACCAATAGTTTCGGACATTAATACCCCCCTATATAAACTCTCAAAATACATAAGTAATATTTTAACTACAATAACAAAACAATCACCACACTACATAAAAAATTCTTATGAACTCGTTACTGACTTAAAACACAAGATAAATTATATACCAGACAACTACAAACTAATTAGCTTAGACGTAGTCTCACTTTTTACTAATGTACCCCTAGACCTTATTTTAGACGCAATAACAATCCGATGGAATGAAATTTCCCCGTTGACTTCTTTATCTTTACACTGGTTCAGGGAAACCGTCAAGTTCATTGTCTCTAACACTTATTTTGAATTCAATGACTCTTTCTATTATCAAATTTTTGGGGCGCCAATGGGGTCCCCAGCAAGTCCATCTCTAGCAGAAATATCGTTAAAACTTCTTGAAAATACAATTTTTAAAAATTACTATAAACATATTTTTTATTACCGTTATGTAGATGACATTATCACTTGTATCCCTAGTGATGATGTCACTATGATAATTGATCAATTTAATAACGTCAATAAAAAATTAAAATTTACAGTGGAATTGGAGACAATGAACTCGATAAGTTTCTTAGACATAAAACTTATACGTACTACAGATAACAAACTAATAACAAATTGGTACCAAAAACCAACTAACTCTGGACGTTACCTTAATTACTTTTCTTATCATCCACTCAAAATGAAAATAGGTACTATAATAAATCTAACGGACCACGCAATACTTCTAACGGACAAAACATTTTGGGACAACAACATCAAATTAATTACAAAAATTCTAACAGATAACTCTTATCCCCTAAAACTTATAAATTCCGTAACTAGTAACAGACGAACGTACTTTTTGAATAAAATGGACAATTGCACAGTACATAACGATTTGCCTGACTCAGAAACTCATTCTGGTGTAATATGTTTGCCATACATTAAAGAATTGTATGTTCCTTGGAAAAAACTTTTTTATAAATCTGGACTTCGACTTGTAACCAATTTTAGTACAACTACTAGCACTATTTTTACCAAAACAAAAACCCCATTTAATATCGAACGACTCAGAAATCTCGTCTATCAAATAAATTGTTTAGACTGTAATTTAATTTACATAGGAGAAACTAGCCAGAACCTCAATAAACAGTTACAACAACATAAAAACAATTCAAAAAACCCCAAACAATTTAAAGCTGTTCTTGCAGACCATATATACACTTTAAAACACAGTATGGACTTTTCTAATCCGACTGTACTACAATTCGAACAAAATTTATTTAAACGAAGAATTATAGAGGGATCTTTTTTAACTATTTATAACAATAAGACAATAAATAAACGGAATGAACTCAACACGCTGTGCGACACAAATCTCTTCTATTTAGATAACATTTCCAAATTTCTTACAAAACAATAAAAGCGTTCGTGCAAAGGATTCGCAATTCGTTCCACACTTTTTTAGAATCTTGGTAAAAATATTTTTTAAAAAATGTCTTTCTCCATTACATCTTCAACCAGTCTACGAATAACACACTATCCATTGTGATTTTTTCAAATCAGTATTTTGTGAAAATATTGTGTAATTTCAAGTTAATGTTTATGATACATAGTGTAGTGCATTGCCATATCCTAATACCATGGATTATTAAAATTTTCCAATTTAACACTAAGATCAACTAATTGTAAGTACTAATTACTATTTTATTTTTTCTTTTCACTCCAATGCAATTGTTTTAGTTTTTAATTTTATTTTTAGTTTCCACTGAATGAAGGCTAGGATTATAGCCGAAACGTATGGATTTAAATTAAATTTTTAAAAGAAATTCATGTTTTTATTGATGTTATGCCCGATTATTAGACTTTGTTATATATATATATATATATATATATATATATATATATATATATATATATATATATATATAATACCAAATGGCAGTTGACAATTGAAAGCAAATGTCATAAACTAAATGAATAGTTTATAAATAACTAATTTTGAATTGGAATGAAAAACGGGACAAAAAGTGTCACATATGTATTTCCTGGTTCTAAACTACCTTCCTGCCAATTTTTATCTAAATCTGTTCAGCCGTTCGTGAGTTATAAGTGTTCTAACTTAAACGATCCTCTTTTATATATATATAGATATATTATATATATATATACACATATATATATATATATATTATATATGTATATATATATATATATATATATATATATATATATACAATATGTGATATTTGCTATATACATATGTACATACATGTAAATATTAATTATACATTAATATATTTATAAGGGAAATTAATTTATAACTTTTTCTTTAGTTTCAAGGAAAGAGGAGCATGCTATGCCCTAGCTATGCTTTCGGACGAACAGAAAACAAATGGTGTGATTTCGGCCTCTCTTGGCAACCATGCACAAGCATTAAGTTATCACGCTAAAAAACAAGGTATCTATATATATAGTATACTGTATATATACAAATGCAATACATACTCGCACGACATAAACATATATAATAAAAAAGTGTATATATGAATAGTATCATTTAGCATAAAGTATAAATTACATTCTTAAAATATATCATTAACAAATAAAATAACTAATTGGTAAATATGTTCTAAAAAGATTATCAACAATTTATGCTTCAAAATACCTCTAAAAGCAAAGATTATATTGATAATGCAATATGTATTCTCAACAAATACATCATTGATCCGGTTTGCTATTTTCGCCTCAAAAATGCTATTGTTAAGCATTTTTGTGCCCGCTTAAGGCTAATGGACACATATTTTGTAAAAGGAAACTGCGTAAAAGGCGGCAAAAAACTCATATTTGTGGTGACAAAATTAAACTGAATAAACATATAAAAAACTTAAACAATATTTGTTTGATCTACAAAATAATCATGTGGCATCCCACTCAAGCGATTTTTCTGTTCACGGAAAGCCACCAAATGTATGAAAACACCTACTACAACGATATCTCCAATTAGAAATGATCTTTGGTTTTTGGTCTAATTCAGTAAAATACAAAGTGTTGTAAATCTTGCTGCAAAAGTCTTTACTCTTTATCCTTGCAACAAACCTAATCAGTGCTGAATTACCTCATAGGCCCGTGAGGCCCGGGCCTAGGGCGGCACAATTTGGGGGGAGGCAAATTTTTCAGAATGTCAAAATTTAATTTACCGAAATTTTACCGGAAAATTTCGGATTTTACCGAAAAATTGTCACGGCAATTTATTTTAATGATTTATCCTAGATAATTTTCAATAAAATAGAATGTTATTCGTTTTCTAATCAAACTTATTCTAGGGCGCCTCATTAATATTTTTATAGATGCATCATGTTTAAAATAAAAATTATCGAATTGATAAGCTTTTTTTGGAGAAATATTGAATCTCTTTTCATTTTTTGTAACTTTGTTAAAGTGAATCTTACATCCATAACACTTTAAATGGATTTCTTATTTTATTTCAGGAATTTATATATATATATATACATATATATATATATATATATATATATATATATATATATATATATATATATATATATATATATATATTCAATAGATAAGTCCTGGATTTTTTCAATATATTGATTGTTTCTTTTCCGAACAGTAAATCCTATAATAAAAAAACACGTTTCGACTTGATGACGCGCATCTTGTGTCGAAACGTATAAATAAAAGTTTTTAATACTTTTTACCTTTTTTATTTCGACAAATGGGCTGCTAGTTACTTTGAAATATATATATATATATATATATATATATATATATATATATATACGTAAACATACATATAAACGATATACATGTACAAACACGTACATATATACATATATATATATACACACAATACGTATATATATACACATATACATACACAAATATATACATATATATATATATATATATATATATATATATATATATATATATATATATATATACATATATATATATATATATATATATATATATATATATATATATAATATATATATATATATATATACACATATACATATACAGACACATACACATATATAAAAAACAAAGCTAATTTACCTAAATAAGGTCTTAAATCAGTAACTAGCGTATGGCACACAATTTTGCACTATTATATATACACCAACTTGTTTTTTTGTTTTTGTTGAACAGAGCATAGCTAAATATTTGTGAAATAAAATATATTTTGCACGGAAAAAGTAGTTTGTGCGTACATTCCCGAGGCAGTTGTGTCACCTGTGCTTAAAAATGTAAAAGTTAAAGTAAAAGTTAAAGTTAAAGTAACGTAGCACAGAAGAAACGTTGTGACGTATTTTATGGTTACGTTAATAAAACGAAATGTTACGTTTAATTATAACCTTTAAACGTTATTGCATGGTTTTCTTTATAACGTAACCGTTAAGTTACACTGTTTTGTAGATTTAACATACAAAATGGACGGTGTGGTACAGTTGTTTCACAAAACTGTCAAAAAGATAGGTTACGTGTTCTACTCTTTTATCTATGCGAGACTCTATGCACGAAATCACAATTGAAAGTTATTCGTGACTCTATATATTTTACTTTTCTGTCTATGATTATAAGGACGCTTCATATTGAACTATGACAAGCAAATTATTTCATTCTTTTGAAACAATTATTTAATCATTATTTATATGATTATTGTTTTATATGATTAATGTAGAACGTATTAGTTATGCAGTGTGCAGTTAAAATGTTTAAAATGGAATCGATCAAGGTAAGTATAAATATAAAACATGTGTAAATTATTTTAATTTATATATTATTATAATAATGATTGGTTTTTTTCAGTATATAGTTGGTCCTTAATGGAAATTCTATTCGCGTATTTTGTTATTTGTAGATGTTTTCATCAAATGTATGTTTATCAAATAATAATTAAATTCTACAAAAAAATCATAACCTCAATGATTATTGCAATGTTGAGTCAACAGGTTAGTAAACTGTAAAAATGAGATATGCAAATACATATTTAATATTTGTAGCCCCTTCAGTAACAACAATATAGTTCGGCTAAACAGGAACAAAAACTAATACAAAGGTTTTCAATTGAAGAAATATAATGACTCAGAACATAATAAAGATATTTGCTCAAATAAAGAATATGAATGCAAAGTTAGAATATAAAATAATAATCCACCATCATCACAAAAAAATGATTTGAAGAAGAATAACATTTTTTACAACATTAAATGATGACACTCGTGTCATGTGTCGTGGAATTGGTATACCCCATTATGATAGTTAGAGATGATTAAATGATTTAGTATTAATTTTTTATGATTTAGTTTTAGCAAAAATATGATTTAAAAGTCGGTGGATGAAATTCGGCTGAACTGACAAGAAACAATTAAGATAATATTTGAGCAATATGTTCATAAAAGAATAAGCTGCCATATGTTCTTAATAAACAATGAAAGTAAATAGAGGTAATTAGAAGTATTGTTACAATTTATATTAATAATCACAATATTCCCAAATCATAACTTTCTATTGTTTTCACTTCAGCAAACATATATTTAAAAATTCAGAGAATCAAATCTTCTTTATTGTCTAAAGTGTAATTCGACGAAGAATTAATATGTTTTTGGTATTGTTGAAAGGACTGCCTATCTGCCAATATCTTGAAAATAATGAATATTATTAGAGGTAATGTTACAAAAAATTTAAATCAATATTATCAATAAACAATTTGTTTGAATTGTTTCTAACATGTTTGGTTCTGTTTCAGATACAATAACAATCAAAAAGCAGTGAAATGGTTTCAATTGGATAAACAAAGGTTCCCAAGAACATTCCACAATACTTATTTTCAAATTTTATAATTAAAATAAAAGAGTTAATTCCATCCTGTTAAGTAGAAATTTGTTAGCATTGTTAATTTTTGTATTAGTTTAATCAAATTTATAAAATCCAAATTTATATTCTGTAGTTTTGTAATTTTAAGTATATATTATGTAAATTTTGTAAATTCTTAATTAAAATATGGAATAAAATTAATATAAAAAATGGTTTTTATATTTACAGCAAATTTTATTAAATTTTTAATTTACATCAAAGACACCTACACGTTAATTTAGTAATTTAGAAACGTAACAAAAACAAAACCGTTACGTTTTCGCGCAATTTGGAAACGTAATAAAAACGAAACCGTTACGTTTACGCAGTAACGAAACAGGCCGTTACGTTTTTCAGGCGGAAATAGATACGTCTGTGTGCCTCCTAGGTTACGTACCCGCTATGTTTTACGTACAATATGTTACGTTCTATTAACGTTTTTATTACGTTTTGTTGTTTACTGGGAAAGGATAAGTTGGCGAGTTTTTTTACAATCAGTGTTTCGAAGTATGGGTGAAGAGGCTAAGATTCAAACTTCGGGATCGTACCACGTAAGGATAGGTTGACAGGTTCGGAATTGAGCTAGTTAAGAGGAAACAAATTTGGAAATAGTACCTATTTTCATGCTAGAGGGAAAATAGGTACTATAATTAATTTAGTTGACCACGCCATACTTTTCTCTGACAAACAATTTTGGTCTGCTAATTTATTGTTAATCCACACAACATTTATCAATAACTCTTATCCTTCTAATCTCATAAACTCTGTCACAAACAATAGACTCAAATTCCTCAATAATAACATTAATACTACCTTTTCTACCAAAATCTCCAAAGACAATAACATTATTGGCAATATTTGTTTCCCGTTTATTAAAGAACTCTTTCCCATTTGGAAAAAAAAACGTTCCACACAATCGACTTAAGATTAATTTGTAACATAGACTTAACTCTCAGCTCTCTTTTTTCCAACCTCAAATCACCCACTAGTTTAGAACGCACATCAAATATTGCCTATAAATTAAAATGCAATGATTGTGATTCCATTTACGTAGGTGAAACTGGACAGAATTTAATAAAACGACTAAAACGACATGATAATAACTCAAAAAAAACACGACAAAAACAAACAATGATAACAGAACATATAAAAATTTTAAACATTCTTTTAACTTTGATAACGCTAGTATACTTTATCACGAACGGAACATTATTCACAGAAAGTTTGCTGAATCTTGTCTAATCAGCATTACTAAATCTTGCATTAATAAAAGGTGTGATGCCTCTTTACTCTGTAAAAATTATCAGGTGATACTCAATAATATTTTCAAATTTATTTCTTCTTAATTAGCTTAATTCCGAACCTGTAAACCTATCCTTAACACTGACTATAAAAAAACTCGCCAACTTATCCTTCGGTCTCTCCAAATAATTTTTAAGCACATGTTACATTACTGCCTCGGGAATGTACGCATAAACTACTTTTTCAGTGCAAAATTTATTATATTTCACAAATATTTTGCTATGCTCTGTTCAACAAAAACAAAAAAAACAAGTTAATGTATATATGATAGTG